CGCCCGCCCAGCCCCCGCCCCCGCCCCCGCCGCCGCCGGGCTCGATCGCCGGGGGCGCGGGGGGCGCGGCGGGCGAGGCCCTGGTGGCCGCGGCGGCCGCCTCGGTGCGCCGGAGCCCCGGGCCCGCGCTGGCGCGCCTGGAGGGCCGCGAGTTCGAGTTTCTCATGCGGCAGCCCAGCGTCACCATCGGTCGCAACTCGTCGCAGGGCTCGGTGGACCTGAGCATGGGCCTGTCCAGCTTCATCTCGCGACGCCACCTGCAGCTCAGCTTCCAGGAGCCGCACTTCTACCTGCGGTGCCTCGGCAAGAACGGCGTCTTCGTGGACGGGGCCTTCCAGCGTCGCGGCGCGCCCGCCCTGCAGCTGCCCAAACAGTGAGTGCCGCGGCCCCCGCCCGGCCCGGGCCCCGGGTCACCCCCGCCCCGCCCCCCGCCGGGCCTGGGCCCGAGATCAACCCGACCCCCGGGGACGGCCCCGGGAGCCCCGAGGACCGGGCCCCGAGGGTCGCCCTTGCCCCTCCCCAAGCTGGACACCAGGGTCGCCCTCTCCTCGCCACCCTGTTTGGACCCGGGTCGGCGCCAAACGCACCCCGGAGGAGAAGGGTTGGCGTCAGGCGGTGTCGCTCCGGGAGGTGCGGGGTCCCTGGGGGCAGCGGCAGTGCCCCCGGAAGGCCCGAGCCCCCGGCCGTAGGGGCCAGCTGTGAACTTGGGCCGGGAGGGGACGGCCGGAGAGTGGGCTGGGGTCGGGACAGGAAGTGCCCTCTCCTCAGTGGACCTGAGGACGCAGGGCTGGGGTCGCCGCACAGTTGGGGTTCCTGGGCAGGAGGGGAAGAGGCCGGGCGGGGAGGCAGGGCAAGGAGAGGGGGACCCGGCGCGCTTGGGGACGGGCCACGGATGCCCCACGGTGCTTTAGCGACATCCTCGCGTTCCCGGGCTCTTCCGGTTCCCGGGGCAGCTGCTCTGCCCCAGGAGATCTTGCTTTCCGGAGATCTTTTGATCAGGAGAAAGCCTGTTTGGTTACTCATGCGGTCCTTGGGCACTTTCTTTTTCTGTGTAGTAGTTGCTTCTAACTCCTCAGCAGTGTTTATATTTCTTCAGCGTGCTTGGGTTCCAGAGTTGTCTCTGACTAATTACTCTCGCTTCTATAAGCACCCTGGGTCCAGGGAGTTTTTGCCGGGGTGATTGCCTGTTTCTGTAACCATCTCCCCTTTCGAAGGTATTGGCACGTTTGGTTGTAAGTATTGTACTGAATACTTTTCAGCATCAACGATGACTCACTGGTGTTCGGGGGGGGGGGGGGCGTATACAGACTTTGTTTTCCAAACGTGAAAGGTGTGTGTGTGTTTCTGTAAAATCAGGACTTGGTGAATGACAGAGTTGTTTTATCCCATGGTTGCTGTTCCTCTGTTCTGCCTTTTCTGTGACCTACACACTCTCTCCATTTCTGGGCCCTTAAATGCATTCTGGGTCCAGTCCCTCACGGTGAGAAAGTGACAGGTAAACAGCGCCTTCCCCTCCCTGCCCTTCCCCGCCCTGCCTGGTGGCTCTCAGAGGCCCGTTCTGCTCAGGCCTCTTTTTATAATTCAGGTTCTGTAAGGGCAGCCGTCCAGCAACCTTGTTTTCACAGTTCCCTGCCTCGCTGTTGAGAGGGTGCAGCCCCGAAGAGGCCCCAGCTTACCGAGTCTCGAATGCACTAGTCTTTTCTCTAACTCAAGGGTAGGACATTTCAGCCCGAGGAGTCCTCAGATCACGTGCGAGTACCGAGTCCCTTGTTTATGAAACGTGGTTGGTGTTCATGCTGCCTTCCTAGCCCGTGTAGCCAGCAGCCCAGATGTCCCCTGCCCTCTGGCTGGGGCTTTGCCCACGGTGCGCGGCTGGCTGGGTTCAAGTTCAGCGGTGCTCTCAGCAACAGCGGCGCAGGCGGTGCTGGAGAATTTACGGGAACAGGAGAAACGTGCTGGCGGAGAAACACCACGTGGGTGTCCGTGTCTGCCCTCCCGGCAGAGGGCAGTTTGCTTCTGAAACCGTCAAAGCCCGTGGACAAACATGTTAGCAGTCCGAGTGGGTTTATGTTCTTTTTATTTGAGAAAACTAAGCCTGTAGGTGGTAGCATCTGTAGGACAGGCTGTTGGAAGCTGCTTTTTAGAATTAGATCAGGGTGCTTTGGCCCACCACGTGGAGAGTAATCAAGAAATGCTAATGAATTCAGAGGAAGGAAGTTGGACGTGTACGCTCTTGTCACCTCGAAATGGGAAATTCAGTGCTGACTTTCAAAGAACGGTAGCAGTTATTGTCTGTTTCCTCTCAGGCGTCGGTGCACAGTTTTGCCACGAGTCTTTGAAGTTGCGAATTTCTCCACCATAAATTCAGAGCTCTCATCCGTGTTGGAATTTTGTTGTGTGCATTTTGTGGCTACAGCCGCCTGAGACTTGGAGCTCTTCCTCGTGTTGTAGCGTTTCACCCTTTCCTGCCCTGTGAGGCCGCAGCCCCCCTCCAGTGCCCCCAGGGCACGGCTCCCCAGGCCGCCCCTCCCTTTCCACCCCGGACTCAGGGAAGCAGGAGGTGGAGGGGAGCCCCAGAGTCCACCCACACTTGTGACTA